CCTTTCCCTGTTTATTGTGAGCCACCCGGAGTCCTTCGGGAGTGGGCGGCATACAAAACTAATAAACTAATAAACTAATAATAAACAACAACAACAAGTTGTTTTTCGGCAGAATGCTTTAAGGATTTATGAGCCAGGAAAACTCCCTAGTTTGGTTCCTTTATCTATGCAGCCTGTGTAACAGTTTCTTCTATGTTTTCAAGAATGTTCCTAGCTTTGAAGCCAAGAATAGAAGCGAGACACAGCCTTCCACAAGGCAGTATGAGTGTGTGCAGCCAGAAAGGCGTAGCGGCTGTCAGTATATATGTTAGTGCACAGTCCTACTGATAGGCGGCACGCCTCAATTAGGGCCAGGAGCTCAGCCACTTGGGCAGACCAGTGCATTGGAAGCTGTTGCAAAAGGAGGGGCCCATCTGCGGATACTACTGCTAGGCCAGTATACCTCTTCCCATTCTTGACAAAAGATGAGCCATCCGTCCAGAGTTGGGATTCAGGGTTCTCAAGAGGCTCAGTTCTAAGATCAGCACGAATGCCCACCACAGCCTCCAAGACAGTTAAACAATCATGCTTCTGGCCTTTCCCAAGGGGGCAGAGTAAAAGTGAGGCTGGCTTCAGTCTTTCACACCTGTGAATTTGAACAGAGTCTGCTTCTAAGATCTGGCGAGCATATTTAGAGACACGGCTTTTGCTCCAGTAAGGTTTGGACTGAATGACGTGTGTAGCCATCTAGGGGGGCTCCCAAAGTTATCTTGTGTGTTTCCTGAATTAGGAGGGCTGTTGCAGCAACAGACCAAAGACAGGCTGGCCAGGCCCTGGCAACTAGGTCCAGAACTTTAGATAGGTAGGCAATAGGAACTTTTTCTGGGCCCAATTTTTGTAGTAGAATGCCAAGGGCACAAGCCTTCATTTTTTCCTTTTCCTTTTCTTTCTTTTTCCAAACGATAGAATTCTTTCTATCATGATGAATGATGAATGAGGGGTGTATATTTAGCAGGGATAGTGTGGCGGATCATAATATTTGCAGGCTTATGATGAGGGGTGGCAGGCATGGAGGATGCAACAACTGCTGTCCCAGAACATATTGTAATTTCTAACTCATCTCTAATAATTCTAAAAAGGACAATAACTTATGTTGCAAACAAACAAACAGACAAACAGGCAAAAAAAAATATCATAGGGTGGGGCACCTTGACTTTGCATCTTGGAGCGAAGGGAGAGGACGCGACAAGANAGTTTTAAGTTGCTTCTCTCCTTGATTAGTTCCCACCCATTGCTTCTTGTTCCACCCTCAGGTGCTTTGGGGAATAGATTGACTCCCTCTTCTTTGGGGCAACCCCCGAGATATCGGAAGACTGCTATCATGTCTCCCCTAGTCCTTCTTTTCATTAAACTAGACATACCCCATTCCTGCAACTGTTCTTCATACGTTTTAGTCTCCAGTCCCCTAATCATCTTTGTTGCTCTTCTCTGCACTCTTTCTAGCTCTTTTCTACATTGTGGCAAACAAAACTGAATCATAATAGTTCTTTCCAATTTGGCCAGCATATGTAACATATGGGATTTGGAAAGATGTGGGTGGGTTAAGTGGTTACAACATGACAAATCATTTTACACATGTAGAAATATTACCTACAATTGTATAACTTACAGATAATATGATACTTTGGTAAAGTAAAAGGTCCATATTTTCTGCATGCTAACTGACTATTTAATCCTTCCTAGTCAACAGCTGAGAATTTCTGGTAATATCAGTTGTATAAGCTAATTATATAATTTTTTGTCGTTGAATGGGTGGGTCTTGTACTGTCCCTTTTTCTTGGTCCCTTAAGAGGACCTCTGGCCATGACAGAGGTTGAAGAGTTAACTTGTGGATTTGTATAAATAATTCAGACATAATACATATCCATGAACAGAAATACTTCACAAGGGTGGTAGATTCCAATGCCTGACTAAAAAGGTGTGTCAGTAAAGTCCCTATTTATATTGACTTGAACAAAATCTGACAACATCAAGTATACTTGCATCCACTTCCAGAGAACTGTTTGAATGTGTGAGTGTTACTTTTCCAATAAACAGGTTATGCTCTTTGCATCTATGCCAAAGAACAAGTTACTGCTGAAACATGGGGCAAAGGAAGCCCAGTACTTCCACACATTGGGTCAGAGGTGGGTTGCTCCCAATTCAGCCCAGATCAGCCGAACCAATAGTAGTAGCAGCAGGAGGCTCCGCCCACCCACCCGGATGCTTCTGCACATGCGCAGAAGTGTCATATGAGCATGCCCCAACCGGTAGTAAAAAAAATTGGCACCCACCACTGCACTGGATATAAATAAATGTATCCAACCCTACTCAGCTTATGAAATCAATATCTAGACAGGAAGAATTCTATATTATTCACTGTGGTTATTTCACAACTTGAAGTATCTTCATGAAGTGACTTGTCTAGACTTTATCTCATAATATTTTGTGCAAAGCACTGCTGAGGTGTGGAATAAAAATAATAGTGTGTACTAATAAAATTCTAGGACATTGTTTCCAGGATTATGTATTGTATCCAGATAGATGTTTCTATTTGTTACGTTTATGGAAGTAACTATTAGCAAAGATTTTCAATAAAGACAAAATTGAGATAATCTTTGTGGAACCACACACTTCTAATGGCATTCCCAGTACTATTCTGAAATTGATATCACAATGTTTGGATTAGTTTTTCAATAAACTGCAACTGGGAGGAGGAATTTGTGAAAATTTGCAGTATATCCTAACTCTTAACATTAGAATTCTTAGTCAAGCTATAGTGCTGATGTTCATAGGAATGTTTTTTAAAATAATCCCTTTAGTCATCCATTTACTACTTTCTTCATTTTGAACTTTTATGTTACAAAAATAAAAGACAGTGAAGGTTTGAAGGTCCTGAGATTTGTAGCTCAGGATTAACAAAATATTCAAGCATAGCTCTGAGGTTATGCAGCCTTACAATTAGTAATGGCATTTGAAAGAGAAAACCATCCTTTTCCTACCAATTAGGTTTTCTATTTTATTTCAGCAATCTTGAAATGAAAGTTATACATGCTAACTTTTGCAGACACTGAACTTTATGCATTCTATTTTTAAGGAAGGGCCTGAAATTTGACTTTGCATGCAAACACTGCAAAATTAGAACATTTTCCTCCCTCCTCTTTCCCCAGTAAAGAAGAATGGAGCCCAATAATTAGGGCATTTTTTCTTTTTATTTTGTGTTCTAACAGAACTTTAGTCAAACATTAAGTATGCATTTTGAACATATGACAGATTCTTTACTGTTTCTCAAACAGAGCTGTTTATATAAAAGGAATGACTTGGGTGGAATGTTTCTCAAACCATTAATGGGGTTTTTTTTCCATTTGTTTTGTGTTTTTCCCCCAAACCAAATCTGTCATTTCTTTCTGAATAATATGACAAAGCATTATAAGAAAATATTTAAGTAGCATGAATATCAAATAGTATCTATTAATCCCTGAATCATGCTATTCAAAGTGCTCCAATCTACATTAAAAACAGAGGATAAAAGTGTTCCTTGTGAGGAAAAAAATTCAAAGAATACCATCCGGCTAGAATCTACAAATGTGACTGTTGCCAGATTACTTGTGCCACATTACTTCACAAATCAAATATAAGATTAAACATTTTAAAGGAAAAGCTGTTGCATATTTTGTTAGCTATTTGGAGTTCTCAGATATCAAATCTTATCAAAATGGATTAATTCCACTAGTGCTTTGCAGGTGTCTATAACCAGTAATAACTATTTTAAATTTTCAAAGAATGAACTTTTAAAGAATGTAAACTTTCAAATCCTACTTGACAGCATTTTATGCTTATTGTGTTTATTTGGTGCATGTCCACATTTTTCCTTTTGTGTGTGTGTGTGTGTGTGTGTGTGTGTGTGTGTGTTGAAGGAAAAGAGCAAATTACTAGAAAAAGACTTGAGTGAACAGTCACAGAAATGAATATTGCTAGTTAAATTATGTCAAAAAACACCATATACATCCTAATTCAGCTTTCAAGTGTTTTCTTGACTATCTACACCATAATACCAGTAATTTTCCATGTATCAATGGAACCCAAACATCTAGATTTTAGCTTAAAATTAATTGATATCTTATTTGACCCAAAATATAGGCCTTTTTTATGATGGCAGTCAAAATAAACACACAGCACATCCATTATATTGGCTATGTCTTATTAACTATGTAGAAAACTCTTTCCTTTTCTTTCCAATGAAGAAAAAGATCTGCAGTTTCACGAGATTGTTGCTGTTAAATTGTTGCATTTTAATGCAACATTTAAAAAATGCTATATGCTTCTCTAGCATATTAATCAATATCAGTAATCTATCACATCTGTTTATGTTGTAAGAAATATGCTCTATTAGTCTAGTGCTATAGTAATCATATAATCTACTGTTGGCTGCCTTCTTATATGAAAGGTGGCTATTACGTTGATTGGTGGAAATATGAATAGTAGTGGTCATTCTGTTAACAGTAGGTGAATGAAGAGTTAAATCTGTTAATATTTATGACAAATTCTTATTGAATCCAAATTGGCAAAGTTCAGTCCTTAAATTTATGCATAAAATAATTGCAAAGCCAAAATACATGTTCTTTCTTTAACTCTTTAAAGATGAAATAATACATTTAAAATAAAACTAGTTTATTTTATTCAATAACATTATTTCCAACATTTCTCCTTCTGATTTAAATATTAATATTTTATAAAATATTGATGTTTGTTGGAATTTACTTTTTGCAACCTCCTGAGATCTCCTTTAAACAACCTTGGAATTAAAAAAAATGTAGTGTTATTACAAGCTTAAGAAAAGATAATAATGAATAATAAAGAATGCTAAACTCTGGATGTATCAGTAAAAAGAAAAGGTGATGATCAAACTTGAATATACATATGTTTCAAACTTGGTTGAAAAAGTATGTTCCATAGTTCTTAAAAGACAGCATTTTCTGTAATACAACATGACAAACCATTTTAGATATTGTCCTTCTATTATAGTTTGGTTTGGAAGCCATCATTGGAAATCTCTGCAGGATTTAATGCACTTCACGGTGCCTACTGCCTTATTTCCTTGGCAGATGTCAATAATCTCATTTGAAGAATGTAAATAAGAAAAGAAACCATTGATTTCAAGCAAACAAATAAACAAATCCAATAATTTCCCAGGAAGTGAATGAATTAGAGTTGGCATGTTATTTCTATATAAAATGAATACAAACAACTCATAAAATCAAACAGAAAAATCTATTATACTTCCTATAAATTCCATAATGGTTATAGTGGTTATTGTGAAACAGGTAATACAGACTGGGTTTTTCATTGTTGTTGTTCACAACTATTTACTATGTGAAATATTAAACAATTAGACCATCTTTAATTTCACACAGTGTGCTGCTTTAAAAAGGTGATGGGAAAAGGGCAGAGTGTAGCAGTGTGATAAAACATGAAGAAAAGATTATGAAACATTTGTGGGGACTCCAAGAGCAAGTGATTTCACACTTACCTCAATAGGCACCCGTATGTGCATGTGCACGGGTGACATGTGCACGCATGCACGCGCACACAAACAGACAATGGGGAATTGCTGCAAGCACGACTCTGGATATTAGCCTAGGCAGACCAAAAAATCGATACTGCTTCTAGATTAAAAACAGTTTTATCTAAGCATTCCCCCACAAAATGTTTAAAATGCACAAACACACACAAATTATACTAATAAAGAAAAAAAACCTCAACCCTATCTATACAGTAGTCTCTTCACTTCTTTCTTTTTAAAAAATGTAAATATACAAATCTTAATGACATATAAAACAAAATCAACATGTGGATGGTAAAGACATGGGTAAAACAGGGAGACTAATGTGGCAAAGAAATTTCCAAAACTATATGTACAAGACCCTGTTTTTCCTCATAATTCATAGATTGTAATGCATGTTTAACAGCAGCAGTCGAGGATGTAGTTCCAGGCACCAGACTGCAGACCTTGCTTCTGATCAAGGGAGCTGACTTCCCCCTTGCACCGATGTCACCAAATGACACTTGAGATACTAGTTTCCCGTGGTAAGAGGGGTAGGATTGCACTGTTTGTATGAGCCTCATCAGGATTCTGCTCTCGGTTAGTTTTTGTCTGTGGTCTCTGTCCATTAATAAGTGTCATTGGGATATTGCAATAAGTATGCTGGTTACCTATTGAGGTAAGAGGCAGGGTGCCAGTAGGAGGTACATCATATTCATAGCTTCGATAATAGTGTTTCTGACGCATCTGTGAATGATATGTGTTATGAAAAGTGGAACGCAAATCAGGGTGGGCAGTGGCAAGAGCAGTGGAGGTAGCAGCAGCCATTGAAATTGCTGAGACCGTCTGCAATTCCCCAAAAGGCCCCTGCTCACTAACATCTAAAACCTGCTCGTTGGTAATAGGTTCTATCCTCTTAAAAGGCATTTCATACTGTAAATGTTTCCAGAATTTGGAATTCAACTTGTTGCATTTTGGTCCATGCCATTTAATTACAGTTAGAAGCTTGATGGTATGTTTCAGTGCCTCAACTTCCTGGTAGTTCATAATTCCTCGCAGTTCACTGCATTCAATGAGGATCACTTTAATTTCTCCTGTAATGAGCATGTTCCTAAGTCTGGTTTCCAATTCAAAGATGCTCCAGCCTCTTCTGACCACATAATTTGGAGTCATGACAATTATCAGTCGTTTGCTTTGGTCTACACATCTTGCCACGTCTTCTATGTAGGCTGATAAGCAAAAGAGCAACTCAAGATCAGAAAAAAACCCTATACCTGGACTGTGATCTGTAAGCAGATCTTAAATAAGTAAATTTACGTCTTAAACTGCATTCAATTAAATTTGGAAAGAAGTATTTACATGTAAATCTCTATTCAGAGGTATTGTTCCTAGGTGAGAACACATTCAGAATAGGAAGAAAATAGGAAGAGAAATAGCTCCCTCCAGAGCTGTGTATAAAAACTGCTAGCAGAGCTGTCTTTCCCCCTTTTCAGGAATATCTCTCCCCACCCCCAATTCCCTGAATGAAGAATATAAGGAAATATTTCCTTTTTATTTCCTGGAAGGGGGAAATCAGTACTTCAGGTAAATTTATTTTTTTAAAAACACAAGGAAAGAGCCACTGTTTCTACAATACATATTTGTTTTTATACAATATGTCCTATATAGATTTTTTATTGCATGCAGATGAACATATTTTTCCACTTTTGGAATATATCTCAGCTTAATGCAATCTAATTTTATCATTTCATAATTCCACTAATATGGCACATTATATCTGTGCAAACTGCAAAGGCAAAAAGGACATATTTATTTAACTGGAACTGTTGAAGCCTGTCTGATATACATTTTCAGTGGCTGGTATCTATGAAAAAATAAATTTTATCAAGGAAAGGTGAATTTGGTCTAAGTTGTCAATGAAAAAAGATGATTATAAAAAGATTGTCTAATAGCTTTATATTTGAATTAAACAACTGATTAAAAATTGTGATGTTACAGTATATTGCTATTAATCCAAAGACATTTTCTCTTGTGTGCTATACTTCTTGGTAGTCTCCATCATTTCATTTAAGAGCCATGGTGGTGCATTTCATTTATGAACCACAGTGGCACAGTGGTTAAAAGGCAGTACTGCAGGCTACTTCCGCTGATCACCGGCTGCCAGCAGTTTGGCAGTTCAGGTTTCAATGGCTCATGGTTGACTCAGCCTTTCATCCTTCCGAGGTGAGTAAAAGGAGGACCCAGATTGTTGGGGGCAATATGCTGACTCTGTAAACCACTTAGAGAGGGCTGTAAAGCACTGTGAAGCGGTTTATAAATCTAAGTGCTATGCTATGCTATTTCAGGCTTCAAAGAGGTTTATTTCCACTTAATAAAGAATACAAATTATGGTAGGTTAAAGGATACAGATCTATTTATGGGCTGACCTTTCAGATAGTTTTTCATCTCCAGGGGATGTTTGTGGTAATGAAAGGATAGGAAACCATTTAAACACCATCTTGCACAATCTCAATATATTCTAGAACTATATTAATCTAGTTATAGGCTATATCTAGAATATATAGTCAGTTCTAGGGAATTGACAACTTACTCTGATTTCTTTCTCCTGTTAGTTTTACTGCTGTTAAAAATATTTGGAATATTTTATTCTTGTAGGTGCAAGAAGATATAAGACAAAGTTTTATATAGACACTTTTAGTTAGACTAGACACTTTTTAATTATGGTAAGCTATTAAGTTAACTATGGTATGCAATGAATTTTTCAAAGAACATTTAATCCTGTTACTATATATCTTATCTTAATAAAAGCTAGTATATTATACATATAGTGCTTATTATTTTTAGTATTAGTACCATTGTAATTATTAATATGCTTTGATTACTTATCTTAATGGAATGTATAATAAACAGCATTAGTATAGAATCGCATTAAAATGTACCTAAACAGCACATTGGGAATGTGCTATGCAAAATGAGTGTATGTTTATGTGTGTGTGTGTGTTTAAAAACTTACTTCCAGTTGGAATTAAATCTCTGTCAGGAATGAATAGTTTGTACCCATAATGCTTTTCAAGCATATCTGGTAAGATCTCAAGAGCAAATCGTTCTTCTTCCCCAGTTTCCTGATTCCATTGGTCAGGATCCACTTTGGTATATGACAAATAGGCATCATAATCTTTGTTATCTGTAAATATAAAGGGACAGAGAAAAGAGACAGGTGAAAAAGAAGACAGATTTTATTTCATGCTGGTTTTCCTCTTCCTATTTTATATGTCCATGTATATTATTCTGAAATATTTCTTATTCATTCTTCATCTTCATCATATATTATTAAGTAGCTGCTTGTACTTCTCTATAGTATTTTCATGATTACAAAAGCCATTTTACTAGATTCTCATTGTCAGATCTCTAAAATCCTTGACTCTAGGATCCACAGGGAGAAAACCCAATACTTAGTTGCTTGGAAGCATCTAACTCATCCCAAAATGAATGGGTTGCTAAACACCATGTTTGGGCCCTTACCTTACTGAATGATGGCCATTTGGGATGGTTCATTTTAATGTCTAACGGAAGATGGCCATGGGAATCTATGCTTATACGGTTCTCAGGGCAGCTGGTAAAGGAACCACCTTCACACTTGTGTATTGGCTAAAATCTGCATTCTGATAAATGGGAGGGGTCTCTACTGCTTTAATTCTACTTGCCTTGCCTAAGGGGATTCAGATGTTGCTTTGAACTTATTGTTTTCATTTCTGCTTAATAAAAGCTTCCTTTTGAAATACTTCATTTCAAGATTCTTCACTTTCTTAAGTTAGAAGGAGAGGCAATCCTTACAGAAAGCAATATTTGCAAAATGGTCAACCTGGAGAAGCAATCTTCACTCTACTGAGGGGACCCTGCAAACCATGTCCGAGCAAAATTGTGAGCAGGGGGAAGCTGAATGCTAGAGAGAGACATCAACCCTGCCCCAACTGAAGGCCTGCTCCCTGTACCCTGTCAGAGAGTATGAGGGGACCCTGGAGGACCCCAAAAAGCCCCGCTGGTTGAATGGCATAGGGAAGAAAGACAGCTGGGATGGGAGAACCAGAGGAGTCACCCACACCCACAGTAACTGAGAACCAGGGTGGAAATTGGAGCTAGAAGTCCCCTCTGACCAGAAAGAAGCATCACTGAGAGATGATCATCTGAAGGGTGATGACCTCTCAATGCCTGCATGGTCCAAGGTGCACCAAATCACCTACATGTGTGTGGTATCTCACCACCAAAGAGGCTAAGATCAATATGGCCATAAACTAGTAACGAATGGGATGAGAGTGGAAGAAAGCCCCACCCCAATGGAAGCAAGAGCTTTTCAAATCACAAACTGCATCTTCTCCAAAACCCTCAGCCTGTCCAAGTGTGGAAAGGAGAGGCACCAAGCTGCATACAGTCATTCTCAAACACCCACTTGATAACCAGAGTGCCTGTCTGGGGGGAGAGCCTATGAAACCTGGCCAGCATAGTAAGAAGTGTGCCCTGAGGAGCAGGGAGATTGTAGAGTTTCCACCCCCTCTCCTCTTTGAGGAGGAAACTCTGGCTTCTCAGCAGGAGGAGCCAAACTGATTCGGAAGTGATTCAGAGGATGAACCACTGGTAAACAAACCAATTAAACCACTTACCCTCCCCTTAAGACTGTTTATCCCTGGACTTCCTGTAGTGATGTCACCGTGCTTGGAGCTGAGGAACAGGGGTTCTCCTAACCTCTAACCCTAACTTCTTCATTTGGGCTCATTTTTGAGCACTGTGGATCCTGAAGGGACCAGCAGATTAAGGGGGAAACTCTGAAGACGCTGGGGTGATAAGGCAAATCCCGCAGCAGGTAGGAGAAACCCACTAAACGGATGAGAATCTATCCTGCCACTTGGTCAAGACTGGAGCGATGGTGACCGCATAAGAAGGAAGCAGAGAGAGAAAGCAGTTGAAATCGAGACATCTGTTACTATTATTGACAACCCAAAGAAGAGGAGGACAACGCGTAATTGGTAGAGAGGGCGAGCTGGAAAGAAAGAGATGCCGGGAAGGAGACTGTTTTTGCAGTTCAGAATTTTGCCGAAAAGAAGTGAAAGCATAGGCACTGAGTTGG